TAACTGCAATTAGAGAGAAAAGATGCTAAATAATAGTTTACCAAACCAGAATATAACTCATAACCTTCACAGTCTCCTGCATAGGTGACTAGATTGAAATCGGAGGAAAAGTCGTCGCTGTTTGCTCTCAGTATAGAAGCCCTTCATAAAGCAGTCCTCATGCTACCTTGTGTAGGACCCTTGACACACAACCCTCTGACGCCATACCATGTACTGTTTAACATTTCAGACCTTTTATATCGATATACATGCATCAGAAAAAATAGAGGCCTGCGAGAGTGATGTTAAAGTCATTGGGAAGAGGGAGAGGGGGCAGCGCAAAATCACCCTCTTCCCATTCTGCCTTCTCTTGTGCTTTGAACACTGTTGGTATTGACAAGGGAAAGTTGAAATCAGAACCCTGGAGCAGTGCAGGAAGAATAAAAGGACAGTGGCCATGGGGAGCTTGTCACAACTGTGCAGTGATTATTAAATGGAAGAAAGTCATCAGTTCTCTCCCACTTTTAGCTCGAAAAAAAAAGAAATCCCAATGTCTATTTCTCCTGAAGCAGTAAATCATGAATTAGGCAGTGCAGCTGCAGAAGGGAGGGGAAAAAGTTGAAAAGAAGAGGCTCTTCCTGCAGCAGTGAGCTATCAGATGGCTCAGTCCCCCCCCGAAACCTCACCCTTAGATAAGTTAAAATTGATGACAAAACCCTGGCCTGAAGAGAGCAATTCATAGCTATTGTTTCATCCCCACAACTGCCATAACTCAATTAAGACCATGCCACCCAGAGGAACAGATTGCTTTGCACCTCTTGGATTTCTGCAATGCTGTAGTCCTATAATCTTTAATACCAGATAAATTCACACTACAAGTCTGATACAGATCAGACATCCAGCTTCCATCAAATTCACTAGAACCCAAACGACCCTTTAGGCTGCAGGAGGAAAAGGTAGCATACTAGAAACAGACATACAGTATAAAGGTATAAAGCCTCTGTATAAAGGTGTGCTACTTTTGTTTTAAAAAAAAAAAAAAAAAAAGTTGTGACCTTGTATCAGAGGAGCACTTTGCATCATGTGGCCATGACATTCTTCCTCCAGTGCTAGACATCCCCAAACCAGATTTAGTCTTGTCATTGTTTAACTCCAGCCGGCAACTAAGCCCCACACAGCCACTCACTCACTCCCCCCTGGTGGGATGGGGGAAGAGAATCAGAAGAGTAAAAGTGAGAAAACTCGTGGGTTGAGATAAAGACAGTTTAATAGGTAAAGCAGAAGCTGCACACAAGCAAAGCAAAACAAGGAATTAATTCACGTCTTCCCATGGGCAGGCAGGTGTTCAGCCATCTCCAGGAAAGCAGGGCTCCATCACGCCTAACGGTGACTTGGGAAGACAAAACGCCATCA